AGCCTTCTCTAATTAGCATTTACAGCAATTTCAACATGGAGTTCAAAGGTGAAATAGACTTTTATGTACACTGGATCTTAGAGTTATTAAAGACTGTAAAGCTAAAATTCAGAGGCTGACTTTTTGAAGTAGAAAGAAATGGCATTTGATTTGATTTAGAAGTCTGTAAAGCTATAGCCACATCTGTCTTGGGAATTGAATGTGAAATATTTTCATTAGTAATCTAGTGTTGGTGGAAATGTTTTATGATTTTGGCATGCCTGCTATCAGATTATAATACAACAAGATAGTAAAAAGAATGGGTTTATTATTCTTTTCTATTTCACTGCATAAGTGCAACTATCCTGTTAATATCATGACAGTGTAATTGGTGTCTCCCTGGTTTTAAAAACTCTCTAATAATCAAGGTGAGGCAAAATTGCCAACTGTTGTGTTCATTAATACTTTGAGACTCCAAATTGAAAGCCTAGAATGTGAAATCCATATGTTGTATTAGATCAAATAATCAGCATTGATCTGGTATAAAATATCTGGCCTACTACACACATAAATTATATGTTTGACTGCAGAGCTTGTAAAGAGCATGAAATTTTATCTGACTGTGGTCAGAACAGCAACCACTGCCTAGATAAGACAATGGACGTTTAATGCTGGTCATTCCTATACTTACCAGCCACCTCACCCTGCCTGTTGGTCACAAGGTCAATTTCCCAGAAGTGTTTTTCCTGACTGAAAGTCGAGCATTTACTCACTTATCATATATAAAGCAGAGGATCTCTTTTCAGGAGCTTATGGTAATAAAGAGAAAATGAAGAGATATTATCACTTAATAAGATATAGTTGAAGTTCCTAGAATGTCATAAACCAGTCTCATCTGTGGCTCTACAAAGCAGTGGAGGACTACTTGACAGCATCACAGTTGGCAGCCATTGCAAAATTTAGCATGTCATCACTGTGTTTTTCATGGAAACTTGGCAGAATGTGGCAAATTCCCTCTCTTTCTCTTATGCTCCATTCCTTTTTCCCATACCTTCCTACTGTATATGCAGCATCCCATTTCAGAACAGCAGTGAGCAATTTCAGATATTTCTTAGGGATTATCGTACTTCATGGGCAGTGACATATCCAAGGCATCCAAAAAGGCATGAGAAATACTTTGGAGTATTTTACTGCTAAAATTGTTCAAACATTACTCCTTCATGTCTCCCACATGCTGAAACATGCACATAGTAAAGAACCAAAGCAGCACACACTACTTGAAAAATAATGGAATCTGATTTATGAATTTTTTCAGTCTCCCGGAACTCCTGGAACTCCTGTTGGCTTTGATGTGAGTAAGATTCATCTACACTTCACAGTGTATAGTCAAGTTCTTTCAGTAACTAACTGTCACAGACTAGCTACTGTTCACTGTTTTAGTCTAGAGTATAGTTGATGTTAAGAGAAATACAGATCTCCATTTTTATCTACTGCTGAGAAACCATGAATGGTGCATTTAACAACACTAATTTAAGTAATTTAGGTTTGAGTCACATCCATTTATCAGAGTTCCAGTGTAGTGGAAAAGACTTTTGAGTTTCTTCCCTTAGATATTCTGAAAGAGGCCTAAAACACCAGGATGTACTTCAGAAGTTACTTCTATATTGGACTAGGCTGACTCCAGATAGAGATGAGATGTTAACTAGACAAGAGCTAAAGCTATGTGTGGGCAGTTCCCAGCATGGGCAGTCCCCAGCCAGAACCACTGACTACAGCTTTGCATCTCAGTGGTTAGTCTGAGTTAAATCCTCTACCAGTTCCCTTCCTTAAAATTGCCCTCTTCCTTTACAAGGGCTTGACCTGGGAAAATGACAAAAAAAGTAATTGCTATGGACAGACCGTTTTGCTAGCATGCTCATATTGATCATTTTACTGATGCTATGTACAATTTGCTTAACACATTTGTTAATTATTATCTCAGACTGTAAACACAAGGTGCCTAGTTGTGCTATACCCTTCAACTGCAAAGTGATGGACTTCTGGGAATGTTAGTTGATACAGAATTTGGCCCTAAATCAAGAAAGTTCTTTTTACTTTGTAAAGCTATCAGGAAAAGGTTTGTGTATTTTCTGTTTGTCCAGCACAGAGAAGCTCTCTTTTCCTTAAGGCAATGTTTCAATAGAAATATCAACTACCAGTTGAAATTAAAAGCCTTTTAAACACAGTACAAAAAAACTATCTGCCAGAAAGCATCCAGTCACTTGCAGCAAAATGTCTTGACTGTAGCAAATATCATGGGAAAAACAGCCTTTTTTTCTGGTTACTCCCTGAGTTATTGTAATACATCGGCACTTTCTCCCCTTAATTTCACCCCTCTCCCAATATAAATCTATTTTTGTTCCTCAGCCACCATCCTATCTTTGACTTAAAAATTCAATTCATACCACAGACTTCGTACAGCTTTTCCTGTACAAGCCTTTCACAAAATTCACAGCTATATAATGATGAGACAGTAAGACTAGAATAGCAGAAAAACATTCCTG